AACGATATTTAGAAATAATTTAAAGTGAAATATTTGGCAATCGTTTTTAATACTTCCAAAAACCTGCTTAGCACTAATCCATTCCCATTATCAAAAGATTTTCTTTCTATAATTAAGTTATATAATATAAACATACCTTTATCTAGAAGAATCACATATCACAATCGATAAATAACATATATACAAAAACTCTTCAGCTTAGTAGAAAGAATTTGTGTACAAATTTTGCGAATTGTGGGCGAAAACGTTTTGAAGCTGCCGTCTGCATATTTACTGCATGATGAGCCTGTAAGGAGAATGATTATGGTCTCCAAGTGGTGCACTGCTATCACCATTGCAATTGCATTAATAATGCTGCAGGACAAGGACGAAAGCACGACGACAGCCACAACAGGACGAGGCGCTGGGAGATAGCCGTTGCATACTTTTTGGCGCGCAGAATTTCATATTTGGCAATAATTATGCCCATGGCTATGCTCTGCGGGGCTGTGCATTAACCTGACTCAGTGCTGCAAATGTACATTTGTATGTCTGTGTATGTGTGTGTGTGTGTGTGTGCTTGTGTGCTTATTGTACATGTAGTTCCCATTATAATGCATAATTTATGCACGCATTTAATTAAATTCCAGTACTGGCACTTACTTTTGCATCAATTTGTTGGGCCCAAGCAGCCCCGGCGCTGACCTGAATTCCCCGAGCAAAGCCATTTAATTTTGTTTTTTTTAATTTAATAAACCCAAACAAAACCGCAAAAAATTAACTGTCAAAATACTTACCAAATTAATTTTAAGCGGCCACCCAATTAGTCTAAACATTTCATTATCAAATTTGAAATATGCTGCCACTAATTGACAATTGGCCTACATTTAAATGCTGTTAAAATGATGCTTTTCGCTGGGCTAAGCGTACTTTTGTTTGTGTTTTTTTTTTTGTTTTGGTTTCAGTAAAACGCTGAAAGTTAATTATTCTTAATGGGCATTAGGCGGTAAGCAGATTGCGTATACGTATTTTTATGCGGAAAAACACTATTTGATTGAACAGTGATAATAAATAATTATAAAATATGTAGAGTTGACTAATTGTATGACATGTATTGCATATATTTTGATATCAATTAAAACTAGTTAGCTAGCCTTGTATACGTTTCTATTTGACATTTAAATTATGCTACTACGCCTTTATGCTTAAATATTTAATATTGATATATAACTGTTTAGATAGATATATTTATAAATGTAGTAAAATATACTCTCAAATGAGTGCAGATAGAAACAAGTAAAATCACATATGAATATAATTGTTCCTTATAAAATTCAATTAGTAAGTATTTCGTAAAGCGAGATAAGCTTATTTAGGGACTAGTCTGACAAAATATATATTAATTAGTTCAGTATTCATTTGCTTATAATGTATATTCAATAGAACATTTTCTTCAGGTAATATTTATTACCTAACATTATTTAAAATAAATAATGTAAAACCCTTACTTTGTTCTCCCAGTTGCAAATATTCCAAATTCCCAGGTCTGCTGCTCAGTGTGGGGCTATCAGGAACACAAATATTTTCTAAGCTACCCATGCACCTTTTGTCCTAAAAAAAAAGCTTATTGTGTATCTTTTCACGACAATAAATTTATTATGCAAATATTTATAGCCTACACTTGATTTATGTTTTTATAGTCCATTGCAATTACAATTTAAGCAAAAACAATTGTATTTAAATGAGATTTTAAATAGTTTGCTTGGTGTTAGCATGATTAATGCATATGCAAATAGGCTGCCAATTAATTGAATAACAATAAAAAAAGTGTGTATTAACGAAATTAATATTTTAAATAGTTTTCTGTAAAAACTAGCAAATATATAAATAAAACAATTAATCTCATTTTTCATACACTCGAAGAGAACACATTAACAAATATGAAAAATATTTGTTCATGGTTCGGCCTCTTGATCAATTTGAGATCTAAAGATGGCAACATTATTCTTGTAATAACAAGAGCAATGCTTTCTTAAAACATATTCATAGCTTTTTACGTTCTTGTAATTTTATAGTTCTTACAATGTTAATTCTGTTCTCCCTCTAAATAAGGCCACATGTTATTTGTCTGCTCCTATTCAAGGGGTATTAATTTGACACGCCCTTAAACTAAACTCAGCTTGCCAGCTAAGCAATTGAGCCCATTCGAGGCCCCTAAATCAATTGGGCCAAGTGTCTGCTATGACATGGTCAACTAATGATGATAGATCAAGCGTACTTACACTTTGTCACTGGCACATGGAACAGGAGGATGACAGGATGTCGTCATGCCAAGCATCATTGTGTGACACCGTAACTAATTTCATTCTACAGCAGCATCGATGCGCTGCTCGCCCCCCCTACTGTATGCAGCTGTGAAGGACATTAAGTTGCCGGCAAGGACAACAATATGTCAGGCGCACAGGCGATCCGGAGTACAAGAGCTGCTCATTATTTATTAATTGGATTTAATGTTGATGCAAATTTTGTGTGTGTGTTTGGGTGAGTTTGGACCATGAACAGTTGCATGTTTCAATTAATTTTAGAATGTAGCTATAAATCATTGGGTCGTAAATAACTATTTTTTCTTAGCATTATTTTAATTAACATTACATAATTAATTGCATGTGGTTGGAGTTTGGCATTTACATATAAATATTTGAAATTTTTACCCTCTGACAGACAATTCAAAGCTACTTATTTCTAAATTTATTTGCTGAAGGCAGCAAAAGGTATTTATAAAAACGAATTTCAAGGAATTTCAAAGATAAGTTGATCAAAGTAAATATTGGGTAGCAGTGTTTTCTATTTTCTTATAAAAAATCAAGCAGTTAAGTATAAAAATCGAATGCAGCTCAGTCCATATAGCTGCTGCTCAAATCATGATTTAGCCTTTTAATGATAAACAGAAAAAAAGCGAAAATATTATTTATAAAAATTTTGTTACTCTGTTAACAGATCTTGGTCAGGCCAGTTTATTTTACATTTAAAAGCTAGACATAAGCTCTAAATTCATTTTGGCCCAGAGGACGTAATATTTTTTTCTTCTGACCTATGCCCAGCTGCTGTCTCCCTTAGAGCACAGATGACCTTAGATAGCGCTTTTGGCAAAGCGTTTTTTATGAATATTTGGACAGGCTTGTACCAACCGTTTCCGCTGGCCACACCTCATAAGCCCTGATAATAACGTGGATAAAGTATCTGCATAGCTACCGGAACCAGGACGCGTCTCTCTTCACACCTTCAAGTTGTGCGCGAAAAAGTTTGGCTTAACTTTGTGCTTCTGGCAGCTCACAAAAAATCACAAAAAAAAAAACGCACATAAAAAATAATCCCTGCGCACGGCTTTTGGCCAAAACATGATGCGTACAAATGCAAGTCTCATTAATTTGGCCCGGATTGCAATTTAAAATTTAGTGCTTGGCCCCGTGCTGCAGATTGTTGGGACTACAGTTAATTAACACCTGTGCGTTACGATGTTGTTGCCGGCGAGTCAGCGGCTGGCGTGGGCGTGCCCAAAGGCTGCTGGGAGGCGGGCTGGTGCAGTGTAAGCCACTTCAGTCACACTTTTGTGAGCCACAGCCGTGTGCGCTGACGCAAAGCGGAAGTGGCACTTGGCAGGAAAGCAGCCGCCGTTGCCGCAGCAGAGTCTGCTGCCAGCAGCGAGCGTATCGAAAACCGAAACTTTTGATGGAAAAAGTTTGCAACAACAAACGCATTCTGCCCAGTAGCAATTGGATGAGAAGGGGGGCGGCGGACGACGGAGGACACACTTCTTAAAACCGTCAAGAAAGTCGCTATAATTCTCGCACAGTGCCTCATGAATTTTGATTTTTTCGTTTAGTTATATACATTTTTTTTCTACGCTTTCACTTTAAGCACGGTCTTAGATTTGAATAATGAGCAAGGTGCACAAAATGTGGCTATAAAAATTGCAGGCTTAAAGATTAATGTTTTGGCGCGCCTTAAGCCGAAAGTCGGCTAAACAAATTTATACCTAGATAAAGGCAGCCTAAAACAATTGAAAAGTGCGAGCCGCCGAAAACTTTTGGCCCCGCCAAAAGTTGGCCGCTCCACCAAAGTGCTCGGTGAATTGTGGCCGGAGTAGCAGCACGCAGCCACCATGACAGCCGCCATGAAATACGGCAGAGTTGCAGCCGCGAGCATCCTGGTCGAGTTCCTGGCAAGGCCAGCGGTTCTCATAATTCATGGACCACAGGCGTGGCCGCCGGCAACGAATTGAATTGGATGTCAGCAACTGCTCGAGATTTGTCTAATTGCTAAGCAGCTTCAAAAAGCAGCTACTCGTACTTTGATCTGGCCGTATCTTGACGTTGCAGTATGCCTCATGTCTCTCGGGCTTCTTTCTGTATTATGCAAATGCGCAGTAGCTACAAAAAGTTTGTCACTTGAGAAAAGAGCTTAACAAAAAAACCGACAAGAATGCACTGGGATGGAGTGAACGACAAGAAGATACCCTATAGAGTTTACCGCCTATATCCCCATACTTTAGGTTTGAATATTTATAGTTTAATTATGGTCAAAAGAATCGATAGTAGAATTCGAAAAGCACATTATTTCAAATATTGATCGTTAGGTTCTAAGCACACTTCTATATTAATTATATTGGATAAGTAATACATATGCACACACACATAATACCCGTTAAGCCCTTTAGCTGTTTACAGGGTGCACAAAAAAGCAAGAAGAAACTGCAACAGGGGCAAGTTTTTGCCAAGTGGTAGCCGCAGCTAGAATGTTGATGACTTTGGTAACAACTTAAATTGTTTGGCAGCATTGGATATATATATACTCCTAAAGAGGACAAAGTTGAAATGCGTTTAGGGACTGTCGATTTGTAAGCAAACTCGTGCTGCTCTAATGCTGCATAAGCGATGACCGACATTTTAGCCAATTAAGTTGCCTACTTAAACTACTGGATGCACTTCTGTTCATTTTTCAAAAAATTAAAAAAAATAAAACACTTTTATGATGATTTAATGTGCCAACTTGGAGTGTATAAATGATAGTAATAATATTACAAGTATAAAACAATTGTAAAAAACACAAAAAATAATGCCCAAAGTGGACCAACTTTGTGATCTGAAAAAGACATGCGGCTTGTACGAATCGAATCGACTGACATATGGCGGCGCCATAAACTCGTGCTGAGCCTCCAGTTGGGCCGCATCAATGATCACCTCTGGATTATTATCGCGCTCATCGCTGGCATCCAACAGTATTTCACGGCTTTCACTTAAAAAATTACACAAATACTGGACAGCTTTAAATTATTTGCAACAATTATTTACCACATTTTGCAGCACCCGTAAACAAAACTCAATAGATTTAAAAATGAAAAATCAAAATCTCGGCGCGTTATTATCAGCTTCAAGGCAATTGGCGCACTGATCCACAATACCATCAGCGGCGACCATAAATATTATTTGTTTTTATGCGCTAAATTTCAGTTTCAATTGCAAGCCGCAACATCAAATGCATAAGTCAGCGAAATACATTCCAAGAAATCTTTTGCTCCTCTGCGCTTTATCGCCTTCAACGGCCAGTACATAAGCAAAATATGTACACAAAGTAGTTATATTGTTTTTGCCTGTGGCTGCTGCATAAATGATTATTTGAATTCTTGCTCACATCAATAATATTTACAAACGTGCTCAAAGCTGAAAAAATTGACTATTGGAGCAACGGTTATACACCCGGCTTGAATACCCTTCTAGCTGAAAAGTTGACTACTTGTTGGTTTCGCTATGCATACATCTAGTTAGATATAACTTACAAATAAACTGAACCTTTAGTTACAGTCTTTTCTAAATTTTAGATAAAATATAAATAAGTTTCACATATTATGCATGCATTAAAAAAAATTTACAATTTCGACCGCTTAAAAATATAATATTGCCATCCGATACTTCGAAAACAAACTCTGTTAGGTAGACGAAGGTTCAGTGTATTCCCTAGTCGGGCACTATCGACTCGAGTAAGCTTAATTTTTTAAAGAGTATTATTAAAGGAATGGTGTAAAAGTACTTGTGTGGCTGGATATGCTTACAATGCACTTTTGTTAGGCTATAATTATAATGGTCCATGGTCAACCATTTGGAGCACACAATTTAATTAAGCTAAATATATTTATTTGATATTCAATAATTCTCTGGTAAGCTTTTAAGTACGTTGTTGGAATCATTTGATTTTAATTAATAACTATTTTTAAGTTGTGATTTAGCTCTCTTCAATTGAAATTTTGTGGCCTATCAATGACTGCAAGTTTTCCATGTATGCATTCAGATACAAGTAAACAAAAATGATTATATTTAAGCATATAATAAATAATGTATAATTTCAATTTATTTGCATATATAATTGAAATTAATATAATGCAAAATAAATTTGTTATCACCCACACACCCGTTTGCATTGCACTTAATTAGTGAATTTATCGTCTAACAGCATTTTATTGCATTTTAAACAGCAAACGACATATGTAATCAGTTGCTTAAATATTTTACATATTAACATTGTTGTATTTCAATAGGCAATAAAAAAGCCGATTGTAAATATCAACAAGAAATATTTTTTCAGCGCAAACAGAAATTTACTGCATGTGTAAAATTATGTTGTTGTCTTTGTGTGTTAAGTATGTGTATGTGTGTGTGTGTGTGTGTGTATGCGTGTGTAGAGGGCAATGCAAATTGATATTGTGATCGGTTTATGTGGACAACCTAAACATGACCCACCATTTTATGCTAATAGATACCCTGTAGGGTTAAATATATGTATAATAAAGCCTGAATAGATGTGGCTCATATGCCAACGGTTTGTTCTTAGCCTAACCTTGGTAAAACTTACCTTAGCTAAGGTCCTTGCACAGCCTAACCAGAGAAGTGCCATAAATCGATTCGGCAACAAAAACTTTTCTGTGCTAAATTTGTTTTGGTCCATAATAGCTCTTGCGCATATTGCATCTGTACAGGGTGTAAGAATGCACAGCATAAAAAACATAAAAATAAATGTACATAAAAAGTTTCAAATTACGTTACTTTTTGAACTGCTTGACTTAAGCCAAAAGAAAAACTTAAATTTAAAAAAAAGCTACATAATACCACATATTAAACATAAATCATTTGAAAATAAACTCATTAGAATTTTAATCTGAACTAAGCTATATAAAATATATCCATGTTCATTAAACAGAGATTCGATTCGGTAACTTGGAACACTTTATATATATTTTTTTTATTTAATACAAAGTATAATTTATATTATCTCTAAAAAAATGATGTAGAAATTAATTTAATAATGTAATATGCCTTTATCAAATGTATATATGTACAGTGCGAGCTTGCAATTGAGCAGCATATCAATAATAATCTCAACTACCTTTAATTCTTATCACCAGTTTGAGTTACTCAAGGTTATAATATTATTAGCCAACTCTTTGTGCTATACAATGTACAAAATATTTTTAATATACCTATAGACAAATTAGGATACGATCCTGCATTTTCTTTAGTATTCATCAGGGTATAAAACCAGGTAATTTAGAAAAACTTGCCTTATATTTAAGTTCTTCGGCCTTTTGAGATATTGATAATGTAGCTCAAAGTGCTTTTGTTGATTTAGAACTAAAAAAATGTCAACATTGCATGGGTTGGAATAAGAGATGTCACATAGACCTGGTTTGTATATCTGACAAACTTCCAAACAAAAAAAAAAAAAAAACAAAAAGTAAAGCGAAACGCATTTCATTCATGATGAAAGCAAACACAGCTATGTGAGAAAATCAACAAAATGGGTAACAAATTTTGTTTACAAATAAAAAAGAAAAATAAAAGACCATAATTAGTACATACACATATTTGTTGTAGCTGTTATTGCTGGGCTGCTGAAGCGTCAGAAAAAAAAAAATACATATATATATTGAAGTCATAATTGATAAGGTTGCAGTTTTCAAAGAGTCGAACGAAGAATCGTAATAGCGTCTTATCTTATCTGAGTCACAAAAAACAAAAATATATATACACATACTGAACACATTTGTCAGCGCTGTTGTTGTAGCTGTGGTAGCCTTTGTTGCTGCTTCAATTAACACCTTTGCGCTGTGATAATAAGGCAGACAACAACTGCGACTGCTCAGTACTGACGCCCGGCGTTAAACGCGTCGCGAGCTCGCGTCTCTCTCTCATTTAGTTAAGAGACGAACGCGTTGCGGTATGGACACGGACGAGAAGAAGGTGGCGACGGCGCCGCTCGGCGGCGGCAACGATGAGATCGATTTCAGCAGCGGCTTTGAGACACAATATCGCAAGGAGTACAGTCCATTGCGGCCAAAATATGTACCGCCGCCAGACAAGCGAAACGCCTGGTACCGAAGCATATCCACCATCATACTGATCATATTTTTGGCCAGCGTATTTCTATTGGGCTCCGTGCTGTTGGTGGTAATGGTCTTTACCGCCAGTCCACTGCAGGTGTTGCTAATTGTGGCCGTCTATGTAGTCATAGCAGCGTTAATGATCTGGCTGGAGGTGCAAAGCATCAAGGTGCGATGATGAATTGGGCCACGTAACCAGTTCCATCCGTGTTCCCTTCAACCATAATAAATCTGACGACATTTCTGGTGGCAAATATCTCGGGTCTTAAGTGTTATGCAAACATATTTAAAATAATCATATTAAATATGAAACGACTTTTGCTGATTAAGGCATTATATGGTTAATACTGATACCAACTAGCTTCTAGGTAAAATTCCAAAAAATTATCAAAAAAAAAAAAAAACCTTAACAAAAACATTCGGATTTCGTGGCGGCGCTCTTCTCAGCCAAAAAAAAAAAAAAAATATATATATATATATTATTGCTATAGACAAACCTGCTAAGTGTAATCGAAACGTTTTTTACGATCAATAAATGAACCATCGAATCCATAAATAGTGTTTTCTACACCAAATGCATTTTGGACTCAATTTCAAGATAACTTAGCAACCATCTTTGATATCTAAAGAATTGGTTTTTGGCTGTTGCATCAAATGACAATGAAATATAAGCAAAACAACAAAAGCATTGAAGATCAAGTCGCACTACATTAGCTCAATGAATGCAGAATATATAAAATACGTACGAATTAAACTTCGCGTCATAAAATACAAGCATTCGATCTATATGAACTTATGAAACCTTATATTATACGGACGGATATCATAGACATATCATGAGCTATGTATCATATATCAAATCATGAGTATATATATATATTCTAGATCAGCATCAACGGCCGAATTGATATAGCCATGTTCATTTCTCTTGAAACTTTGCATAGATCCGTCTTTCGGCTGAGAATATGTCCGAGCCGGGTATAGCTGCCAATCGAAAAGCTGGCCTGAATAGTTGGTTCTATTTTCCTCTATTTTCTTCAAACTCAGCATTTACGAAGATCATTATTCTCACATAAACAAATGTATAGAAGAGTATGAGATCTTCGGCGTGCCGATAAATATTCTTACTTTCTGTTTTTTAAAATTCTGCCAAGCAAAGCAGAACAAAGCAATCTCATCCTGTTGAAAAAAAAAAAACTACAACTTTAATTTCCGCTAACAAAAGGTGACTGAACGAGGGCAAAGGGCAACAGCTGACTTACCTTAATTACTCACAGTATTTCGAGCCATGCTAATTATTTGCACAGTGCACTAAGGAAAATACGTATACATATATATATATATATATATTTATATATCTGGGTAAGTGCTTGTGTCTGTGTGTATGTGTGTTTGTGTCTGTATGCCTGTGTATGCTTAGTGTGGCTCGTGGCCAAGGATGGCGTCGACGACGGCGTATTTAATTATAATGGCGAATGCGCTTAGCTTAAGCATTAATGTCGTTTCCGTCTGTTGACGGCGATGGCGATTGCGATGACGATGGCAAGGACGAAGGATATATATAGCAAGCTAAAGGCGTGGCCTTTTTTTTTGACTAGCCTGGTCGCTCGGTGTGGCGATTTAATTACAAGCCCGGCATGTCGCTTAAACATAATTTTTCTTTGGCTGCAAGAAGATTACGTTTGAAGTTCTGGATTGCGCTTTCTGATTTGCTGCCTTGATAACAATTAAATGCAATCATTAAGCGTAATTTACACTCTAAAAAGCCAACTACAGCCAAATTTATTGAACAAAATTGATTTTATCGCCAACTTTGCATGGTATCTGATAGTCGTACCTTCTTATATTCTCATCACACTCATTCTTTGATTTATTGTTCGATTGGCCAATATTGTCAATAAATGCTTTATTTAAACAAAAGCTGCCTGCAGTCATTGTTTTTGCTCTGTTCATATTTATTTATTTATATGATTTTTAACTATTTAAAGGCCTGAATTATGCATAAGCGAAACATTTTAAGTTATTCTGTTTTTGCACATAAAACACAATTGTTATAGACATAGTCAATTGCACAACAAAAGGTTACAGGCCAAGTATGTAAATAGACAAGGATTGCACATTTTGCAAGGATACCAGGGTCAAAACGAAGCTGTCGCTGATTTTTGCCTCCTTCTGCCATGTCTTGGGAAATGTGTCTTAGAAATTTCTTAAGTAAATCTCAGTTGAACACTTTTCATTTAGCCTTTCAGGCGTTGCCAAACTAAGAACCGAAGGACAAACTGGGTAAATGAAAAATTTGAATGCAAGACGTGCGGACAGTGTCTGAAGAGTCCTTGGAGGCTGCTGCTTGGCAAGGATAAGTTTAGATTTATAAATAAATAAGACAAAGCTATGAACCAACATGTGTTGCTGTTGTAAAAACAAAAGTGTTTATTTGCTAGCCACATATATTTAAATATACCTATTTGAATTTAAAAATATTTATTAAATTTAAGCTAGAGTTAAATTTAACTAAAATTTAAGTTAACAGCCCTTAAAGACAGACAGATAGATAATTAATTAATTCTCTTTTAAGATAGCTGCAAAGTGTTATTCAAAATTAAATTATACACATGTTAAACGAGCAGTGCAAATATTGATTGATTATCATATGTAAATTATGCTCATTTTTTACAATATTTTTTTTAACGTTAATAAAAATTGCAAAAAACAACCGCAACACTTTCAATAAGAGTAATTATACATTTCATAATGCTTAATATTAAAAAAAAAAGGAAATACTGTTGAACATTTTATTTGAAATTTATGCAAAAAGCCTGAAAGCCTTGTCGAACAACACTTTGGACCATCCAATGAAGAGTCGCATTTAGATTTGCACACAAACGCATTTGAATATTCAATTAAGTCTAACTGCCAATTCTGTGATAAGCTGCTGCTCAACCCCAAAAGCTGACAACTGACTGAGCTCTAACCAAAAATCTGGAATTGTGTGTAATAAAAATAAACTCAATTCAAGGCCGACAAACTGTGTGTGCGCCTTCTATTCGCTTTTGGCCAGATACGTTGCCAGTTGCAAGCTGTGATGGCAATTTTCGTGCTAAAGCTGGGCCATAGACATTTTTTTTTTCTCATTTGCACTAAGATTACAACTGACATACATTGAAATTAAAAGAATATTCAGAAAAGTGTCCTCAACATGAGATGCTTCATAGATTCCAAAGGCGAACCAATCGACAATATCGATAGAGCACTCGAAACTTTTTGTTATCGAAAGGAAATTTGTTTTTCAAGCAGTTTTTATTAAGCACATTTTGTTATTATGCAATGTAAATTCGAAAACCAAATGGGGAATAAAATTTGTCACCAAAACAAAAAAAAAACAGGAAACATAAATTTACAAAATTCTCGTGCTCTGTGTATGTATAGTATGTAGAGAATGTAACGAGCATGTCAAAGCATTTTGTGACATATTTTATTTATTTTATAACGAGTAAATGCCGAAAAAGTCAAAAGTACGCAAACAACATGCATAAATTACCACAAAAGAGACACTTCGAGCGAGAGGCATTTGTCCCGGGGCTAGTCCTGAGGCTACGCTGCAACTGCAATGTGCAAAATGTGTTGAAATATTAAAGCCAAAAAAAAAAAAAAAAAAATAGAGAATGAGAGAAAGAGAGAGAGCACACCAAAAACTGTGGCCAAATGCAGATGAGCAGCATTCTTTCTATGCCAAAGTTTTTGGACACTTTTCTGAAAGCCTAACAGGCCACTTTAGTTTTAACCGCAAAGTTTGCTGTATGCACCGACCTCGTTGCACTTTTGTTTGGCCATTGGCCTTTCATGTCATTTAACTATTTTTCGTTATTTCTCTTTTCCTTTTTTTTCCCCCCCAGTAGCAATTTGCTAACACAGGAGTGGTGTCCAGCACACTGTTGATTGCCGGGCATTTCAATGGGCAACTGTGAAGTAGTCTGGACTATATTTATTTAGATTCAAGTTGCGTGTCGCTCAGTTGCCAAAGCCACTCGTTAAAAATTGTATATATATTTGACCTTTATATGCGAAATATTGAGCAAATTAAGACAGGTATCTGTGTCTGCTCATGGTCAGGTTGATCGGGATGCCAAAAATCGATGGTTGGTAATTTTTAGCGCATTTTTTTTTAAACTGATAGGTCGAGGGGTGTAACCTTTGGATGCGTGTTTCTGGGATTGGATTAGCAAGTAATCGGGAGCTCGGTTCGAGTGAAGAGTTTTGAGAATTTGGTAGAAATTTACAGCTTGCAAATAGCCAGCGTAGCTTTTGGAGGGGAGCCCCAGTTAAGCCTGCGGTTCGAAAATATATTTTGCAATAAAAATACTTTGTAATTTGGTAAGGGTATTCAGTATTCATTAGGCCGACTATTCGAATGCCAGCCGCACTTGTTCCACTTCTGCTTTATCCATCAACTGGTATAATATTTATCCTCTTTGCATTGATTTTATTGCCTGCTCTTCGATTGTTGAGTGTTTGCGTTTGCTCTCTTTTTGTTTTGTTTTATTTATTTAATTTTTTTTATGCTGCATTTAATGGCATGAAAATTAATTTGACATTAAATAGTGTGTGTTGCACTGTTCTTGTATTGTGTTATTTATTGTATTAATGTTTGCGAAATGCAAATAAATTGAGCGGGCAAATTTTACGCTTGTTTTATATTGTCACGTGTCGCTTGCCGACGTTGCCAGCATATTATATTTATGAGTATCACAAATAAATCAGACCGTTAATGTGTTAATTATTTCATACTGTTGCTGCCACCGTTGCGTATACTTGATAAATATGTAATTGCATATGCAAACATTGAACAAAATTATTTGTAAGCACAGTAAAGGTGCTCGAAGCAGCAAAAAAAATTATGTATTATTGGCACGTGTTGACTTTATTGGAGCTTATATAAAACGAACTTAAGTTTTTTTCTTTCTTTTTCTAGATTGAAATATTACATATATAAAATATAAAATTTGCTAGATATGTTTGTAATATTCTCTCATAATTTATTTTATTTGATTGCTTCGAATAGTCCAAAAATATCTGTACGCTTTATTATAGTTATGAATTAATATTTATTATTATTTTTCTAATACTTAAATGTTTTTATAAGGCAATTATGCTTGTTACCATTTTTGTTTTATAATAACGTGTTTGTTTCTTTGTTATATTTTATATATATATTTTTTATTACATTTTTAATTTAAGCATTTGTATGCTTCATATTAATAGTCTTCTATAATTTACTAAAATTCAACAGGGCGTATAAGTAATATTCAGTTTCTTTTGTGCTGGCAACTCAAACGGTTGTTGTCCAAGCTTAAGCGAGCTTTTTATAACTGTCAGTCAGAAACAAAATGGCCGTAACGTTAAAGTTCCGAAAGCTAACGAGATGAAAATTGTCTTGGCTAATAGTAGCAACCGCTTTAAGCTTTCCTTATAATTAACAACAAATGAAAGTTAAATATAGTTCGCAAATTATCTTACATTCTTCGGCTTTTATGCCAATAAACAATGCAAGCTGTTTGAATAAATTTGAATGTATTCAAGCAAAATTCCTAAGCTTTGGAAAAACTGAAAAGCCTGGCAACCCTATGCACTGTCCAAGGAGTCCCGACGTCGACGACTGCGTCTAGCAACGACGCAAGCAACGCGAAAAGCTTCTCAATTTGTCGTAAATTTTCCGGCACAACAGACGCAATCATTCTGTTGCCGTAGCCGCGCGAGCTTGTGCTTAGTTAAATAAAGTGAGAGCACACACAAAATTGTAGTAGAAATACTTGCAAAATTAATCTAATTAAGCAAAAGCCGCGAAAACAAAGAAAAAAGTTAAATAATAATAATAAAAACAAAAAAAAAAAAACAATTAACTAGCCACAATTGCCAAACCGAATAGGTTTGTGTGTGCGTCGTGTGTATTTGCCAGGGAAATGTGAATGCGAGAGAAAATTGTGCACGGAAAAGCCAAGTGCAATAAACTGTGAATTATCCAGAATTAGCTCTATACAAACTGCAGTTGGGCCCTGTGCACGGGAGCAACCCATAATTCTATTGCTGAATGTCCAGCTAACTGTCGTATAGTATATTATGCAAATTAATTTCAATTGGTTTGCACTCTGGATACACAAACGCAGCAGCAGAAGCAGAAGCAGCAGCCGCAGCGGCTTTACTGCTGCTTTTCTTGTTGTTTTTGTTGTTGTTGTCGTTGTTGTTATTCTTGTTGCTTGTAGTAGCGGCGTAGTAGCTGCTGTAGTAGTAGTCGTAGTAGTAGTAGTTAGTTGTAGTATATAGTTTTTCACCAATTTGCGTATACACAATTTGAACAACAAAATGCCTAAACTGTGTGCCTGTTAGTTGAGCATTTTTCGTTCCCGTTAGGCTTGCAGCTCGGAAAATGCTGTACTCACATCTTCTGCCCACCCAAACCCCACTTCCGCCATCCGCCATTAATAACAAGTGTGTGCGCGTGTGTGTGACTGTGTGTATGCGTGTGTGTACGTGCTCGCCGTGATTTACCGGCATTTGCAGTGTTAAAGCCATGAAAATTGTTTCACAAGAATTTTTTAATCATACGTGCAGCACATACTACAACATGCTATACAAAAGTTGAGAAAATACCGCTAAATTTTACGCGCGTAAGTAATTAAAAATACTTGCAGCTTATGCTCTAGAAAATGTTGTTAAACAATTAACAACAATTTACAATTTGCCGCAACATTTAAGTCCACCTTTTGATTGAGGAATGCATTTAGAATTGCGTTGCGGTTTTACAAAACTCTCATAAATATTTTCATTAAAGTTCAGTCCAGCTTTTTGCTCAGCGAAAAGGTTAAACATTTGTGTAAATTGACTTTAGACTTAAATATGTCAATCATTTTATCGATATAGTTTTCAGGAATTTAGACACCTAAGCAACGAGGATCCGGGTTCAAAATTCAATTTGTTTTATAGCCAAAGGCCAAGTACGGTTTTCATCAAAAATTTTCTAAAAGTCAAATGATAATTATAATAAAAACTTTTAAAAAGTACTTTAGAACTTTAAATTGCTTAAAATAATAATTACTTTTAGTTTCGAGAACTATTTTGTGATTTTTAGTTTATGATCTAAGCTATTTTCACTTTGTATCCTTGCTCTTGGTAGCTTAAAAATATATGAAAACTCCAATGAAAGGACTAGTCTAGTCCTTCTAGTCAGAAGACATAAGGTATAAGATATGTGTATATTAACAACTATTTCTCAAAATATACTTTACGCTACCCTAATATATATGACTTTCCCTTGAGAATATATATATAATCAAATTTAATGGTATTGCTGGTAAAAAATTAAATATACTCATAGATTTATCTGTAATTTATTTACAATTGTAAAATACACCCTCCTTTTTATACTTTTTTGATTACACACCGGTTATAGGATATGTAAATAATTTTAATTAAATATTACAATACATTTTCAATCAAGATATCAACACTCACTATGCATATGAAATGCAGTTCGGGCGCTGCTGCCTATGGAAAGACGACTAAAAATAAAATATCCGCCTGACAATAATATCAATTAAAGTGATGGGCCGGCAGTTTCAGTTCCATTCCACAAATGTAACGACCAACCAACAATGATCAATAAACGAAAAAAATAAAAATAAATAATAATAGCATTGCACGAGACTTTCATTATAAAGCAGTCGGCAGTCAGTAAAGAAGCCGAAAATGTTAATTCGAGAAACCTACGAGTTCGAGTTCTCGTACTTCTGCTTTTGTAATGCAGCCAGTGGACGCCGGCGTCGACTCAGAGCTCCCCTTTCCGTTCAGCAACAACAGCAATCACAGCAATTGCGGACAGACAGTCAGAGTGGAAGAGGGAGGCAGAGTAAGCGAACCAGTGAGAGAGAGGGAGCAAGAGCTTGATAGAGGAGTTAGTCTGACAGACCTTATAATATAGGGTATAGAGAGGGTGGCAGGGCTTGCGAGTGCCGGACAACGTCGAGACGCGACGTCAGTTGCACAATTTTGCACATAAAATCCAAAGCATAATCATGAATAATGAGCGTTTGTGATAAGTGATAAGTGCCCTGTGGGAAATGTACAAAGTACACTGGAAGAAAAAAAGTGAAAAGAAATTTTGGCTTCCCAAAAAAATGCCAATTTATAATTTGTTTATTTTTCTTTTCCATTCATATATAATTTAATTTCTTAGATTATATATAATCAATCTTTAAGAATATGAAAACTAAGTAAATATTCATAAATTATTTAAAAAAAAATAAATTCAAATTAAATCTTACCCTAAAAAATTGGCTCCCAAATACAGTACATATTTTATTGTCGAAAATTGTCACAAATATGTTTTGAAAAGAGCAACAATGCGCTTAACATGGCATTGCCGGACGAACAGGTTTTTCTGTGTGTCATCCCATTTCCAACTGGGCATTCGCTAAGCCCGTTTTGGGCTCCCGGTTGAGCGCTTAACGCGCCCAGACATGCAGTACGAAACGGGAATTGGTTCGGTTCGGTTCGCTAAATGGACGCCAAAAGGTGAAAATTCTGAGAAATATCTGTGGCACAGATACAAAGCATTTAAATAATATTTGAGTCGAGGACAGAAAATGAAAAGAATTGAATGCATTAATTTAGTGTGTGAAAAACTTGCCCAAAAGGAAAATTCCAAAATTTTCATTTATATCTAATCTTTACATATTTTGATCCGCTCAGAGTGCTTGTGCCACAGTTTGGTTTTATTTATTTACGCCGTAGTTTGTCGTTTAGTTTGTCAACTTCAATTGAAATTAATTTACTTTCTTCACATTTAGCTGCCGTATATGTATCTGTATCCGTAACTTGTGTATCTGTATGCTGTGTGTATGTGCCGCTGACTGTCAGCCTTGTATGCGATCAGATTTAAGCACAAAGGTCAGCAAATAAACAAATTGTCGCATATTATGTTATTGTTGTTGTTTATCCTATTGGATGAGAGAATACGCAAAAAAAAGAGATAACACAGCTTGGCAAATTTTCTAGCTAAATTTCGCAAATAACAAAAGAAACAAAAGTATCTCAAACTATTGCAACGTCCAAATGGTTAGTTTAAGCGCAAATAACGACTTTGTCGCTGGAAAACTGTCACGAAAAGCGTGTCAAAGACAGGTTTTTTTTCGGCTTTTCCCTGGCAAACACGTAATCCAGCTGCCAGCCAAATATGGTCAAGCTGCATTGTAACTGTGCCATTTGTGTGGCAGCTATGCAAACACATATACATACATACACATGCATATACATGTATATATATCTGTAAAGCGATGCAAATTCGATCGTGATCAGCACAAACTATTCTGGGCATATCGTATATATAAAATTGTGATTTGATTTGCATACAAAAATAGTCGAGAGCTAACATTAAATTTCAGGCACAACGTCTTGAATTTTAATGAGCTGCAATCACAACTTTTTGAAACTAATCAAAAATTTCTTGAAGTACAAGAAAGAAAAATAATGCTCATAGAACCATATATTGCTCTATCCCTTTCACTCTCCTAAAACATTTCTGTATAGCTTTTGGCAATTATGTAAAGTGTTTGCGCAAAAATTTGCAAGCGAAAATGAATAAAATCGTGGTACCATAAGAAAAACTCAAACAAACTACAAAAATAAAAAAAAAAAGCGCAACAAAACAAGCGAAAAAGAAAAACACTTGAAAAGTGCTAACAATTAAAAACAATTTTCATCCAAAACTCACAAAACTTGAATGTCACGCAAAATGTTGCAAGTGCCGGCAGCAACATTTTTGTTGCTGCTGCAGCTGGCTGCGACTGCGACTGCGACGGCCGCAACTGGCAGCGAAACAACAGCTAGCAGCATCTTGGATCGCCAAATTGATGGGAGTCTGAAGAATGCCAAGCTGATTGAGATCAAAGTGCTGCCCGATTTGGCTGGACTGCAGCGCAATCAGGAAGATGACAAGTGGCAGCACATTTACCGGTTTATCGACGATGGTTTTCCAGTTTTGGAGCTGTACGGCTACAGGACAAAGACAGGTGAGTGACATATACACACATACACATGCACATGCTACATTTTATTATATATAAGAGTAACGCGCTAGTAAACCCTAAACGGGCCTACGTCACGTTAAATAAACCTTCACATTAAGTAAGTATAAATACCTGATTTGAGCTACAGAAGATAAGAATTGTTGCAGTCGGCTGCAACTGACTGCGTAATACTCGTGCACAGCTCACAATAAGCTACCCTCAAAAATGTTTAATAAAATAGATATCTTTAAATCGATCTTTGGGGCAGCTTGTTGTCAACCACTACTCCACTCCAGCCCTAAAGCTGTGAACTTTCGAGGAGCTTGTCGTCAGTCTTCATTACAAATTTTGCCATTCTGGCTCCAAAGCTGTGAAAGATACAGAGTTTTCCGATGATGACGCTAAGCTCGCTTGCTGACGCTTGCGATTCTCAACAAGTTAAAGTTTCGTAAAGGGAATACAGCGATTGAACCGATGGGTTTCAATATCCATGCAACTCCAAGCAGAACCTTTAACATTTTGTTTTTTAATTGAATGTACCTTTGCTAATTTGAATTTGTCAGCATTATATATTATAACTGATTATTAAATTCGTATACAATTACAATTAATTCTGCTAAAAAAAATTGAAAACTGAGCTGACTCGAATTTCATTTTCACAGAGCTACATTTTTTGAATACACTTATAAAGAGTATATTAACATTGTCATAAAATATGCAAAGCGTCGACATTGAATACAAAGATACTTTTAATCGGACTTTATCTATAGATTATATGTAGCAAATCTGATTTGGTTGATAGATAGATAGATAAATATTAGTTAAAGAGTTAGTTTGGTCGAAAACTAAGTTATTGTTTGAGTTAATTCGATCGAACCCAGCATTTATTAGTTTTCCTACGCTTCTTATATGTAAGACATATCTTATTAAATCGCACTTCCATAACTCAATGGGAAGAATGTAAATGAATTTTAAGAATATCTTCACTAACTCAACAATTAGGCGCTTTACTTAAGCGCAAGCCATAGTTCCAGAAGGATATTTAATTTTCGGCATGCTGTTGCGTTCCTTCCGGTTCTTTTCCTGTTTTTAGCTATAATTTATCATAGATTTTTTGCGACTCGCGCTAGCCACGTTTTTCGATGTTTGGGCTATTAAACAAATGAGCTGCACATTTAGCCATTCCAGCAAGTTGGCCATTTATCAGTGTCAGCACGTGGCAACGCTGAAATTCCACGACAGGATTCAGTTGCGCCATGTCCTCGCTAACGGTTACACTGCGCGTGCTGGCCGCGCTAGCCACAATTGTCGGTTGCAACGTCTACAGGTTTATGCCGCACAGTTGCACGTTCCGGCGTCGGCCGAATATGCAACGTCTGATCTCGCTGATGCACAGCGTCTGGCTGCGTCCGTGGATATTCATTGCCAGCTATTTGCATGCGAGATTTTTTATTCTACATTTTCTGCTGACCATCTCGGAGAATGTGGCAGATAATGATAAGGCCCTAACGTTGGTGTATTATCTAAGTGCCCTGGCAATGAAATATCAGAATATAATCGCATCCATTTTTATCACATATATTTATAAGTATCATCTGAAGAACATTGAGCGGACTCTCAATGAGTTTGCGAATATTTATCAGCGATTTATAAGACGCTTTGGCCATGCACCGCGCATCAATTGGTGGCTCTTTATTGTTTATTTTACGGAATGGTTTAGTCTTGCAATTCCGGTCCTCCGGCCAAGTGGTTTCACTCGAGTACCCTATGTGGGCGAGAAGTCGCCGATGAACACCTTTCTGAGCTGTTCAGCTGTGCTCTTTGTCAGCCTGCAGCCATTCTTTTTGTCCCTGCTGGCGCACTTGGGATTTTTGCTGCTGCACGGATACTACGAGAAGGAGCACCAGCTGCTGCTGCAATCTAAACAACCACGCACAGATGATGTTCATGAGGAGCTATTGGAAAACTATGTAGCCTTAATGAAACTGAGACAACACTTTGAGCTGCTGTTGCGTCCATTTGTGTGTGTTGGCATGTTTTCGGAGCTGAACAGTTGCATGTGTAGCTTCCACCTACTGCTGTATGATAAACATAAATTGGGCTATCTGCTCTATACAATTCTCGGTGCTCTGATATATCCCTTGTGCTTTGTATACCAGAGCCAGTTCATCAAATCGGTTGAGCAACAGTTTGGGCATGAATTGCTCAGATTTAAGAACAATGGCAGGCGACAAAAGCAGGTCAGTTCGAAATGCAAAATGCATGTATTATCGCTAAGGTTGGCTAGTTGATATTCTCTTTTGCAGCTACAAATCTTCTGTCATTACAAATTGGTCTCTTATTACACCTTGGATCGCAGCATGTTTAATATATTCAACGTGAATCGCAGTCACATTTTGGAGTGCTTGTATGTTAGCTGGATATTTGCCATGTTCACCAACAGCCTTCTCGTTAACTCACCGCATGCCTGGGTCCAACATAATGCCAATAAGGAGCATGGTATTCTTTAAATAAAATGATTTTTAATTATATTTTTCTTTTTATTGAATAAAGAAATTTCTAAAAATTGTAAAATTGTTATTATTTATATTTTTAGCGAACGAAACCTTTATATTTGAATTGTGATTTAAATTTCTCATAAAAATCATATAAAAATATTCTATAAAATTCATGACAACAACTAAAGAAATAAAAAGTAAATAGAAGCTAATTGTTTTATTGCCAATTAGACACCCAGTTACATAAATAAATAATATTAAATATGTAAACATTTTATGCCTTTTTTTTGTATTTAATAAAACTATTTGTATTCTTCACATAATATAATAATAATATAACAGTTGTACCCTGTTTGATGTCTGCCTAGTTTATATATAGATATAATCTAGTAAACAGACAATAATAAACCAAGCTTTTCAGTAAGCTCATTAACTCTCTTTGCAAACAATTACTTAACTTCTCTATACTCAAGTTGTACTTGTACTGAATAATAATAAGTAGGTGTAAGATTTGATAGTCAAGACACATTGCTATAAAATCGCACGTGTAGGCATTTTCTAGCCAAACCCACAAAAATATTTAGCCAAAAAAAATATATAAAATTCACGCACCTGAAATAGAATAGTTGGGAAAAGACAATGGATTCAGTGTCGGTGCGTTCAGTCTTCAATTTGATGTCAATGTTTGAAGCAACCATTTTTTTTCTCTTTATTATTATTTTTCATTAACCAGACACAATCACTCTGCCTTCCAGATACACCCTTCACATTGATAATACCCAAAATCGATGTGCGTAGCATTGAGAAGCCGCGCTTGAAGGAGTTCATGTTGGAGCATTTGGTGCCCGGTAAAATCTTTGATAGTTACAATACGCTCGCCAATGGCAAGGAAGAGGAGGAGTCGTATGGTAATGGTAATGGACATAAAGTCGTTTTTCGTAAATTGGAAAAGTCGCACAACAATGTCTGGCTGCTCAACGGACAGCAAATACTCTACAAGCTGCGTATCAATGAGCAATTGATGGCCATTGGAATTGATGGTTATTTGGGTGATAGGAAATCGCCCTACTCCAAGCGTAACATACAGGAAACGAACAAGTGAGTGAACCGACCCAAGCCTACATTTTACCCCCAGGCAATGCAGGGTGTGCAATCAGCATGTCCTTACACTCAGCGAAATAACGATAGCTTGAAAATATCAAGAAAAAAAGTCTATAAATATTTAAAGATTACATTTGATATGAGAATTCAAAAAGTGTTGATTTTTTTATATTATAAATTGCAATAAAAACTGTCAAAGACGTATTTTATCCAGCAATTTTTGCTGAAAAGAAATTTAACGACAGGAACCAAAAACTGAGTTCATATATATACGAACCAAACCAACAAAAATAGATATATATATTTTTTCTCTCTATATATTTTCAAATATTTCCAATACGTTTATGCCAAACTTTTTGCCAAGTGTATGTCCTAATGCTGGTTTGTTTGCGGTCAAAAAGTGCATTCAAGCGAAATTTATCAGGCACTGGCGAAAAGTTTTTGTGGCCCAACTTTTGTGCACACTTCCTAACATGCCCTTCATCTACCCTCTCAACCTACTTCTATGCCATCGCTGCAGCCGCTACAATGACCCACAGCCGCTGGAGCAGCCAAACATTACCAATGCACATGCTAAAGTGGAGCCCATTATTAAGGAATCAAAGGCCAGTCCATTGATGTCATTTCTGGCCAACATGAAAACGGGCACAAAAGTGTTCCAGCACTTTCTATCCAAATCCAATCTGACACGCATTATGGATGATAATGCCTATACGGTGCTCATACCATCGGACAATGCCTTCCAGCGCTGGCATCCCATCGACTGGGGCTTTTATCCATTCAGTGTGCCCGAGTTTACCGAGAGCGTATTGCGTAATCACTTCCTGCCCATGCAGCGACCCCTGCGCTTGTCCGATGTCAAGAACATGGACCAAATGGGCGTCCGGACTATGGGCGGCGAGCTTGTCATCTTCCATGGCCAACGTAAGTGTTCAATTTGAATTATTTTCGAAGTACATTTATGATTTACCTTGATCCATAAAAACAGCCACGCCCACTGTGAATAATGTCAGCATCATTTCGGAATTTACGCTCTCCAATGGTAATCAGGTGTTCATTATATCCGAGGTGTTATTTGTCTCTGAGGCTGTGGTCTCCAAATTGCATCAGGTAAGGCACACACACAAGCACACACACCCACACCCAGCCACACACATATGCCATTGATATATATAACTAAGCCTTTTAATACTCACCGCAGATGCACAAGGATAAGGAGACACCACCGCTTTTGGCATTCCCGTGGTTCGGTGCACAATTTCTATCGCACTCATTTTTGGCCTTGGAGCGTGATTCAAGATTCACGCAAATTACAAGGTAAATTTGAATACCAATTACAGTTAAAATCAGTTGGGAGCCCTTTGGGGATTAAATTAGAAAAGGGGTGGGACAAAGGGCAACCAAGCAAACAACTATAAACGCTTAGGGCGAGAATGCTCGACTCAGAGATACCCAGAATCAAAATCGCTTTTAAAATCATGCAGCGAAAATCCCCTAGCATCTATAAATATTTATCGATATTTATCGATTTGGAGAAAATAAGCTATCAAGGCTGGCGAGATACCAAATTTTACTTCTTTGTGATGTACAACAATCTACATAGCGAGACCTACTATAGCTATAGAGGTTTACATAAAAATATGTTTGTGATATTTATCGATTTTACTCAATATCGAGAGAATTATCAAATTTGATCGATATATAGTATGTGAATTCGAAAAACTTTCTTCACAAATTTATTACATTTTCTTCATTTTCTTCATTATTTAAGCTCATGACCATAAACAAATTCGAAATCGATAGCCCGACCGATAAAGAATATATGTATTCTTGGCTTGCAAAAACCTCCCAGTATAAGCAATATACCATTTAAATAACCGAAGAATGATTTCTTTAAGGGATATTATGAAAATTTTAGGCTAATTGACAGACAGAACTAAATAGAACCCTATTACTGCACACAGATATCTGAACAATGCGGAAATAGCTCCCCATATCTCTGGCGCCAATTATACATTCTTTGTGCCCGAAGACAAGGCCTTCGAGAAGCTGGGCTTCGACAGACTATCCGACGATGTTATGGCAAGTTGATCTACTCCAAACCAATTACACTTAATCATTAACCAGAAAAAACAACTCTATGTTGCAGGCTTCGCAGCGTGGTATTAAAATGTTGCTGAATCATTTTGTGCGTGGCCGACTCTATAATCGGGATTTGCGGGACAATGAGGTGTTCGAAACGATTGGCGGTGGTCATGTAAAGATTACACGTAATCCGGGCAGCAATTATACAAGTGTGAACAATGCACAGATAACGGAGAGCGAGGTGTTTGTCTACAATCTGGGCACCATGTACTATATAGACGATATACTATATTCGCATATGCTGCGCGATCATATTACCAAATCGACTAAAACGAGATCGGATCGAAATGGCGGCGAGGCTGGCGGAGGCTCACGGAGCACTGTGCGTCCCAGCGATGTGGAGATTGTGCCCAATGAATTCGAGAGCGAGCACAATGGCGGCGACTATGCCATCCATGGCGATGATGACGACTTCGAGGATGAGATAATAACGCCAAAAGCGCTGCCCGTCCAAATCTATGAGTTGCCCAAATAGATGAACACAAGTCGTGAATTATCGATCGATGGCAAGGGTATGTCAGGCCGAGCTGTGCGGGAATCATTTTTGATATGTGTGGGTTTTTAATGATGTGAGTGGACGCGCTTAAAGCGTTTTGTATAGTTCTGAGCTAATTTTTGTAACGATTTTTTTTTAGTTAGTTTTTAGTTTTGTGTGTGTACATTTTAAGTTAGCATTGAAAATGAGGCGGTGAAACGAAGTATACTACAGAAGAAAAGAAGAAGTGAATTAATGAATGGCAACAAATATAAACGTAATCCTAAAGAACTTATCAGCAATTCCAATGAAGCTTGTAGATCTACGTAGCGACAAATTGCAATTACACGAAAACAAAAAAAAACCAATATACAAAAACTTAGAAACGGAATTTAAACAAAAAAATTAAAATTAACATTCAAACAAAAATTCAATATATACGTATATTAAAATATGTACTACATATATGCAATTAGACGCTCTTTGGGTGTGAATGCTTTTTTTAAGAGACAACATATCGGCTAAAAATTTAAAAAAAAATTATCAGAAATGTAGCGCAAAAAAAAAACAAAATTAAAAAAAATTAATTCCAATTTGTCGTAGCCAAGCGAAATAGGTGTGAAGAAATCGGGCATATATATATATATATATATATACATATACATATATGTATATCTATATTGAATACGAGTATATTATGACAGATATGTATTTTTTAGTTTATAATAATTATATTATATCTGTATCTGTGTATATGAACAACAACAACAACAAGAAGAAGTAATGAGAATGAAAAACTTGCAATTTTATAATAGTTTGTTAAAATAAAAATAAAACGATAAAAACACAAAAGCAAAACAAAAACACAACAAAATCGTTCCAAATTTTTGAATATACCAAGTTTTACATATATATATTTATTTTTTTTTTTTCTATTTTATTATGAATTAGTTAAACGCAATACATGTAAGTATGCTTAGGATCTATATATTTGGAGTATTGTATATGCATTTTTTATGGTTTTTTTTCGTGTGTATATTTTTTGTATATATGTGTATAGTATGTATATAAGTAGTATGCATGTAAATAATACCTGTTATGCTAATTGACCTAAATGATAGTTCATAATGGTTTTTCCTTTCAATTTTTTTTTTTTTTTTGCTTGGGAAGCTCCGAAAAACTAAACGCACACAATGTGAATAAAGCGCGTGCACATAACAAACGCCAATATCAAAGGGGGCGCGACTGACACGCCCCTCTCCAAAATAACATTAATAAATAATGATAGGTAAGCATATATAATTCATATTTGAGGGTGGATTGGGGCAGTGGACTTGTTTGCCGTGCCATCAAAAAATAACACAACAATTTATATTGGAACATTTCAAAATTAAATATCAAATGCGTATTGCTTATATATCTATAAAATGTCTATATGTTTTATGTACCTAAGTATGTATATGTATATATAATGTGCATGATATGGCGCTTTTGTATTGCATGTTGCGTCTCGGCATTTCTTTGTTTTTCTAGATGTAGTTATGAGAACTACTCTTAAATGGCCGCGTTCAAATGCTTTAGCTATTTGAAGAGAGAGAGAGACATACATATAAATATATATATATATATATATATCTAAAAGTCTGGTAAATAGGCTATATATTCGAGCTTTGGCAGATTCATGCAAACGCCTCGAATCACAATGTATCAAATTCTACAATATCAGTAGTTGTTTGTTTGTTTGACTTAATAATTAATTTTTTTTTATGCTGTCGCCAATTGCAATTTTCGTGAGATCTAATTATAAGAGTGACAAATGTTGAACCAAAATTAAACAAAATATATAAACTTAGATAAAATAAAATCGTAAATTTTCCAACTGCATGTAACGTATGCTAATCATACTTTTTTTTATATGTATATCGAAATATGTTTTTTAGTCGTTTGCTTCTTGAGTGCTTGCATTGTTGTTGCTAGACGTTGCGGCATTTGCATTGTTTTGCTGTTGGCTGTTTGTTGTTGTTGCTGTTGTTGTTGCTGTTGTTGTTGCAGCGGTTGTTGTTGTTGTTGTTGAAGTCGTTGTTTCAGTCTCGTTATCACTCGGATTTGGGGGTTCAAACGTTTGCTCTGCATCCGATTCGGCAGCTGCACCACCGACAGCGCCCTCCAGCTCATCGCACAGCTCCATTGCCGCCGGCTGCTTGGGCTTAAAACTATTGTTGTCCACATTCAGTTCGTAGTTCTTAAAAGGATCGGCCAGCTTGGCGGATTGTTGGCAGTTTTGTGCCTGCACTTGTGCCGCGGCGCTCTGCATGCGTCGCTGCTGATTGCTGAACGTGGGACTCTCAGAGCGTGCGCGTTGTAGCAGCGGCCTCTGCTGTTGATTATAGCTGGCATCATACTCGCGCGAGCGTCCAAACTCAAAGCCATTCTGCCACTGTACGTGCACGTTCTCATAGGAGGGATCCTCATGGCGATAGCTGCTGCTGCTGCAGCTGTTGCCTGCCGTCAGGTTCTGACGCTTGTCGGCGCCGCAACGCAAGCGGCTCAAATTGCTGTGCAGCGGTCGAGCAGCAGCTCCATTGGCATCCCGTCGCATGCTGGCAGTGCTGCCCTGGTAGCGCATCATGTCCTGCGGCAGTGTGCCGAGGCCCAAGCGTGGCGTGCCATACGGATTGGACATTTGTGAGGCTACCGAGGCGGTGTCACAATTGACGCAGTCGCGCGAGAACATAAAGTTGAAGTCAATAACCTGCTAAAGCATATTAAATGTAACTTAAGGGAGTTATTTAATATTATTTAAGGCTCACCTTGCACTCGGGTCCCTGGCCAATCCACAGCGGCAGCCACTTGTTGACCAGCAGCCACTGCAAACTGGACTTGGAGATGCGATTCAAGGTGCCATTGCCGGCATCCGAGGAGGAGGAGTTCGAGCGCGTTGCAGCTGTTGTTGCCGTTGTTGTTTTCTTGGCCAGCGCAGCGCTCTTGGGCGCTGCTCCAGTTGCTGACTTCTCGGTTCCACTCGAACTGGCAGCAGTTGCTGCTGTGCTGGACTCCTTGGCCGCTTTGCTGGTGGTTTTTATTTTGGGTATAGCGCCCGTGGGTCGCATTGCTGTGGTCGAGCTGCACACGCTGTCGCCGCCGCCGCTTAGCTGCTGCTCATCGGCAGCTGCAGCAGCTGCTGCTGCTATAACTGCTGTGGCAGGTCCGGCGGATGCAGAGCGTGCCGCACGCTCCATGGAGACATTGGGCGTCAGTGGTGAACAGTGGTGTGCCGCAGCAACTGCAGCAGCCGTGGTTTTATATATGTTTGTCATGCTCTGCGAGTTCTCGCCATGCAGGCAACTGAAGAAGGAAGAGGCGCTATTCTTGACGGGCACCTTGACATGGCCATAGTCCATGCCCGCCGTTGCGGCGGCTGCAGCAGCAGCAGCGGCAGCAGCACTTGCACCACCAACACCAGCGCTAGCAACACCACCGCCAGCCAGATATCCCTGGCAGTTGGGCACAGTGCAGGTGCTAGCATTATTGCTGGCTGCTGCAGCACCATTCGCATTCAGACGTATGTGACCCACGGTGCCGAAATGCGAATGTCCCAGCACCGCATAGTGTCCGCCCAGATTGTAATGATCTATGTTGCCGCAGGAGGAGCTTAGATGCCGTTCGATGCGTCCGATGCCATGGCCCAGCACATCCAGGCGCGTATAGAGCGGCACGCGACTTGTTGCCGCTGCAGCTGTGGTGCGATACAACGGCTCATCGCGTATCTGCTCGTAGATGTTCTCATAGCGCATGGTGCCCGCCGCCGCATAGGGCAGATTATAGCCATCTGTCGATTCGGTGTCATCAAAGCTGCGCTGTCGCTGACAATTGGATCTATTGCTGGCATAGAGCGGAGCACAGCGCAGGCCGCTGCCATAGCGATTGCCTGTGAAGGAGAGCAGAAATGGATTGTGAGATTAAGTTTGCAATAGAAGAAAGTACGGGACCCTGTAGCTGTCGTAAAAGCTACTTATATTGAATTTAAGATAATACATCTTCATCTTCACTTTAGCTTTAGCTCTAATAGACTCTCAAGATCGTGCTGAACATACAATCTAATTCCATACAAATATATATAAACTTTAGCTGTCTGTTTCGCACTACTTAAGTATACCCTTGCCGGGTAATTATCAATGGGTCCATTCTGTGACCAGCTCCAAGACAGGTGACTTACCGTTTTGCATATCAATGCGAAAATTTCGACGATAGCCCAAACCGGAGCGCACCGCTCTTGGTACATCGTAGGCAGCCGCTGTGGATGCGGAGCGATCATATAAATCATTGCGATAATTATTCATGGGCAGCATGCGCGCTTGCTGCTGCTGCTGCTGTTGTTGTTGTTGTTGTTGTTGTTGGGGTGCTGCTTGCTGGGCTTGTGCCGGATTGTTGTTGCTGGCATTGGCTTCAGTTGCTGCTGGTTGTTGTTGCTGCTGTTGCTGTGGTTGTTGAGCTACTTCCTCAACATTTGCAGGGGCATTGGCATTGGCATTGGCCACAACAACTTGTTGGTTATTATTATTATTGTTGTTGTTGTTGTTGGGCTGTCCAATTGGCGCATAAATGTTTTCATAGTGAGGATGATTAACGGGCTGTGCAGGCGTTGGCGGTGCTGCGGCTGCTGCTATTATATTGCCATAAACAGCACCACCGACGGCGCCCTCCATGGTGCCCTCAGCCTGGCTATTCTCATCATCCAACAGCGCTATGGCCAGCGAGGCCGCTTGGCTAGAAACAGATGACAAATATGTTAAGTCGAGTTATGTATTGGGCATAATTAAAAGCCGTACTTAAAGGTTATGATTATTAAACACTCACCGTGCCAATGCGCCCTGCTCTTCCATTCACAAGGGCTTATCGATCATACAGACGCCCGCATAGCTGCGTCCAATGGTCATCAGTGCGGGCAATATGCGCCAGCTATCCGAGTCCGGGCAATAAACCTCCACCGAGGCCAAATTAGAGGTGCCATCATCGCCGCCCACCACATACAAGAGGCCATCGTGCGCGACGACGCCCGCATTGCGACGACAATAGGACATGTCCGCGACGGAACGCCAGGTGTTTGTCTCATGATCGTAGGCCTCCACAGATTTGCGCACCATCGGCCCGTCGTGACCACCGACAGCGTATAGAATATTATTGAGAACGCCGACTCCGGCGCCGCTGCGACGTGAACACATCTCGGCAACGGCACACCAGGTGTCCGTATCGGGATTATAGCGTTCCACGGAGGCGAGGCATTGCCGGGAGAAGCCATCGTAGCCGCCAACAGCGTAGAGCAGTCCATTAACCACGCCCACGCCCACAGAGCTGCGTCGCGTCGACATGGAGGCAATAAAACGCCAGATTTCAGTCTTTGGATCGTACATCTCGGCGCTGGACAGGCCGGTGGTGCCATCAAAGCCGCCCACAGCATAGATGCAGCCATTGAGCACAGCCACGCCCAGCGTGGAGCGACGCGCCTCCATATTGCTGCAGTTGGCCCATTGATCGGTAGCCGGATCATAAACATCCACAGTGCGCACGCGCAGCGAACCATTGAAGCCGCCCACGGCATAGACCTTGTCGCCGAGCACAGACAGGCCGCTGCGGCAACGGCGATTCGGCATCTCGGCGGCCTGATACCATTTCTCCTCACGCAGATCATACCACTCCACGGAGCGTATGGCCTTGGGCGCCTGGCCGCCAATAACCAATAGAATCTTGGGCATGCCCACCGGCTTGCGGGGCCTGGTGCGCGCCGACTTTGTTTCCGTGGGCAGCAGATGATAGGTCAGGGCCTCAATAATCAGATTCTTGCAGTCAATGTTGCCCTCGAGCAGAATCTCCTTGTCCACGCGCTGTGTTATGTACTCCTTGGAGAGGAACGGCAGACGCACATGCTCCATGAGGGCCGAAGTGAACTGCTCCCGCATGGGCACATCGTAGCGCAGCCAGCCGATGACGCATTCATAGACGCGCTCCTCATTTGGCACCGAGATGCGATCGTTGGATATCAAATTGATGACCTGTTCGTGTGTGAGATTCAGAAACTCGTCAAACTGAATGACCTCGCTGAAAGAAGAGAGAAACAGGTTAGGGTATGTGTCATAAAATGTGCCAAATTATAGCGTAATTAAAAAAAGTAGTATATACATTTAAGAAACTGGTTAAAGTGAGCGACTAACGGGTTTAATAAGTTAATGGGCTTAAGTATGGTACATATGTGTAGAAGGTTGGGCGAGAAATTAGTTTCGACTTGTGTTGAAAAAAAGATAATCACGATAAGTTAAGCTGAGAAGAATCTGTCTTTAAATTAAGTCAACCAAATGTTTATTATTTTTTTTCATTTTATCAAGTCAAAGTCTATATCGTATCATTCATACATCATTTCAAAAGTCTGCAGTCTATTCCGAAGTCTGTTTTGCAGAAATTCAAATTAACTATTGTATATCACATTTCGTGAAATATGAATAATGAAATGTTGGAGAATCGGTTTATATGCAAACAAATCAGTTATCTTTGGCGTTTCGAAGACTAAATACCCTGCACAAAAATGGTTAATATTCTACTTAATTACACTTTAAAATATATTCTATTATAATCTGAAGTAGGAGATAAAAGATGAAGATGAAATATTCTAGTTAATCTATTCTATTCGACTCTATATACAATATATTATATTCCACTATAATCAGATTCCGTACATGAAATATTCTTGAATATTATGTTCAAGCACATGAGAAATCTAACAGAAATTGGAATACATATTGATCGATTGACTGATTGATTGCCCGGATTGTCCACTCACTTGAAATGTTGTTCAATATAAGTCTCCGCATAGTTGAGCAGCTCAACGCAACCATGCAGATCGGCAAATTCGCGTATCCCCAGACAATTGCTGGCATCCAATTGGGTTTGCAGGAAATCGCAGCAGGCATCGCGCACATCCGTCAGCTGCAGGAGATTGGCCGCCGTCAGCAGCACCTGAACATTGTCCTCGTTCACCTCCACATTCGATGTGTACACATAATCGATGAGCAGCTCCAGAGCACGGGCATCGACACTTTGCAGCGTGATGCGCGTTTTGCGCGATTCCTCAAAGCTGGTGAACATTGCATAGAAGTAGGGGCTGCAGGAGGCCAGGACCATGCGATGCGCTGGGATTTCCACATCGTCCGCGACCAGAATGACATCACAAAGCTGTTTTTGTCTGTACAAAATGAGAATGGAGCGAGCGGATGGTATGTGGTTATTGAGTAAGGTCAGCAATTAAAAGCTTAGCATTTAGCCGAGGTATGTTAACAAATCATCAAAAATTGGTTTCTGATCAAATATTTTTTTAACACATCGGTTTTTAATTTCTTGTCATTTAATAGTAGGGATCCGTACGAATTTAAAAAGGTATAACATTTCAAAATCAGACGATATTTACCGGAGATATTAAAAAACAAATCATCAAAAAAGTTTTGCTTTTTGAGCCGACCCCGATTTTGAAAAAAAAAAACGTGATGTAACCGTGATGATCGACCCTTGATTTTGGGTCGATTTTGATCAAAATTTAGATTTTTATTTTGTTGATGCCAATCGATAGTAGTGATCCTTACGATCTCAAAATGGTATAAAACTCGAAAATCTGACATCATTTGGCCGAGATATGCCAGAAAATCATAAAAAGAGATTATGTCGTTTTGAAGGGACATAGCTTCGCGACATACATATCTTGGCGGAGATATGTCGTTTTGAAACGACATAACTATATAAAATCAAGCACAGTGGTGCGAGTTATATGTTAATATAACTGAATGTATTTGTATATGTGTATGTGCATATAGGGAGAAAGCCTCTTCCAGAATCTTATCTGGAGTTCGAATTTGAGCTGCGCTGTGTATGTGCATGTGTATGTGTATGTGTATGTGCATGTGTATGTGTATGTGCATGTGAAATATGAAAAATTTGAACAAGAAAATTTATTTGAACGGGGTACAATCTCCACACTTTGCTGAGCCCTTTAGTCAACCGACTAGATGTTTAAAATTTTTTTTTTTTAAATAATAATAACACTTTTATTTTGTATTAAATGTTTTTAATTTGTGTTACCAAAAGAAAGAATTTATTTAGGTTAAGCCAATTATGAAATTATTTTTCCAAGGCCCTTTTCTATGAAAGAATTTTCAGAAAAGTAAAAAATGGCTGTAGTTTAAATTGAAAGTAAAAACTTTTGTTAATTGAAATGACGCCAAAAACCGAAATGTTTTTTTTTTGTCAATTATTTGGTCTCAAATAATTTTCAATTAATTAAAGTTCGTTACACTTAAAAATGTAAATGTACAAAAAATCCGATTTGTCCATTGGACCCACGGTGCGTAGCTTGTGGAGCTCGTTTAGGGCATTGGCTTACAAAAATAACGAATAACAAAATATCGAAACGGGTTTGAAGACCAAAAAAAAAATAAATAAAAATTCCATCAAGGTAGTTTTCCATTTAGATGACATCTAATCAGCTGGCCTCACACGGAAGTGGGAAGCGAATACATAAAGAGAAAACGAGACAAAAGTGCGAGAAAAAAAAAAAACAAAAACAAAAACTGAGCGACTTCAAGTTCAAGGTCAAAAATTATTTTGTCTAAAACGAAAACAAAATGCTAAAAAAAAAAAACAAAATAAAAAGTCATCATCATAATCAAAGCAAAAATCGCAAAGTCGAATATTAAAGCGAATGGCCTCTTGACAAAAGCAAATACAGCGACAAAATTTAAAGGCAAAAAAATGTATATATATATATAAATGTATATATAGTTTTGGAGTATGTGCATTATCTGTGCAAAGTTGAAGGGGGCCAAAACCGACAAATAAAGCGTAATGCGCAATTATGCGAGGGAATGTGAGTCGAGAGATCGGCACAAACAACTGTTGACCGCGTCGCGACAGCTTTTTGGCCCATTATAAGTATTTTTCATATTTTTGCCAAGACCAAAATAAACAAATCTTATAAGATGTCAGGTTTTGGTTGCCCAATACCCATTAATAATGTGCAAGAAGGGTATCTTAAAAATGTGCCAAAATATACAACAGGCGATGGATTTCATGATTTCTCAGATTTTAAAATCTTGCCCAATACCCATTCAAATTGGGCAAGACGTGGTGTATTGAAAATGTGACACAATATGTAACAGGCCAAAAATGACGCACCCAACCTTTCATATCCCAGCTCTTCTGTACAAGTAATGTTATTCTAATACCCTGTACACATGGAAGATATTTAGGATTACCTCCCAGTGTATCTGCTAGTCGGGTATACTGTGCTAGTTTTTATTTGCAAGTCAAAATTAGCAACTGTAACTGCAACTGCAACTGTTTCTCGTGTATTGCTTGTTTTTGAGCCACATTTTTATAATTTCCAATTACCCATACCCATTAAATATGTTCCAACTGGGCTTTTGGTGCGTGCCATATTTTAGTCTCGAAAAAATCACATCAATCGGACAATAATTGCAAGAGTTATTTAAGTAGAAGCAATATTATTAAGGAGTCTCTACTAGCATTCACATTTTAAGGAACAGAATAAATATTTTCTTATATTTACAGGGTGTCTGCTAGTCGCAGCACTCAGCTTTTTGCTTAACTATACGCACTGGGTATCTGTCGAACGAGCACACAATTTTCTACTTGCACATAGAATTTACAAGGTAAACAAAGTTATTTCCCACAGTTACAGGGTATTTTGTAGTCGTGATTGTGCTTACTTGCGCATCTCGTTCATCGCATCGAAGGAGCGCGCCGTGTGCTGCTCGTTGTTGTACTGGCCGACGGTGCCGCGCTCCTTGCCGTTGGGCCGCTGGATGTGCTTCTGGGAGCTCTCGTCGAGGCTGTTTTGGCTAGCGTAGCGCAGCAGGCAGCTGCCGCGGTCCAGGCCGCTGCCCTCGGCGGCGGGATTCTGCTGTTGCTGCTGCTGCAGCAGCAGGCGCTGGCGTTGCGCCACGCCCACCGCAACGCCTAGGCCAGGGGCGGGCATTGCGCCAGGCTCCATCAATAGGGGCGCCGCAGCCGCACCCGCGCCCGCTTCAACGTTGTTCTGTTGCTGCTGCTGTTGTTGTTGCTGTTGTTGTTGTTGTTGTTGCTGTTGTTGATTCTGCTGCAAATTGCCATTGCTTAAATTGCTCATAATACCGATCGTGTATTTGGTTAATAATGCAGTGAGCGCTATCATTCACACACGTTCACTCAGCACGCGCGACAGCCGAATGTAGCCAACAAAAGTTTTTAAGCAACTCCGCAAGTTGCAACAACTTGAAAAATTCGAGTCCGTCCAAAAACTGAAAAAAATAACATATGATATTTGGCATCAATAAGTTAACAGGGCGCTGTAATGTTATTTAACAGCGCGCGTTAATTTTAACCGTTTCGTTACGAGTTAATAAGCGATTAGTTTGTTCTATAAGGCAAGCTCGGCTATGGCATAAGGAACCTAAATTTTTCTTGAGTTTGCTTTAAACACATGAAAATTAATTTAAACAACATAAAAACAATAGCTATAACAGTGCAGTTACAGCAGTTTGAATGTGGCGGCCAAGCGATAGACTTACCTGCTTGGCCGTTGCTTACAGCACTGAACTACTCATCTAACAGAATTTCGCTCACAACTAATTGCTGCAGACGGTTGCGTTGCAAAGTATTTGAAATGAGTATTTTCGCACATACTCGCAGTGCTGTGCCTACTCACTAATTTTCTTTTCTAAATGCTTTAAATAAAATTATGCCGCACTCACAACAGCATTTGAGGCTTACAAGAAATACCAGATTCGACCAGGTGGCAGCCCTGTTCCCATCGATAAACGCAAAAGTCTATCGATACGCGCATCATATTTTTTAGGGCGGTGTTCGCATTTTGTTTTCATTAATTATTTGCTGCTTACAAATTAGTTATTAATTAAAAACGTATCTAAGCATGAACACAATGGATAAATGCATGCTGGCCGCCCTCGTCTTGGGCTGCCTGCTGCAAACAGGTAAGTCGCATGCGTAGCAGCGCGCGCACAAACACAAACAAACAAACTAAAAATCTTGTCTCGTGGTGTCTCACACACAGCTTGGGCCATCAAATGCTGGGATTGCCGCTCCGACAACGATCCCAAGTGCGGAGATCCCTTCGACAACAGCACACTGGCCATCACGGACTGCCAGCAGGCGCCGGAGCTGGAGCACCTGAAGGGCGTGCGTCCGACCATGTGCCGCAAGATTCGCCAGAAGGTGCACGGCGAATGGCGCTACTTCCGCAGCTGTGCCTACATGGGCGAGCCGGGCATTGAGGGGGACGAACGCTTCTGCCTGATGCGCACCGGCAGCTACAATATCTTCATGGAGTTCTGCACCTGCAACAGCAAGGACGGCTGCAACGGTGCAGGCCTGCAGCGGAGCAGCTTGACCAGCGTCCTCTTTGGCACCCTAGCCGTTGGCCTTGTCGCGCACTTCCTGCGGCAATAGCAGCAGCCACTATAGCCAAAGCGAACTGTACCACACTCTCTATGTGTAATTTTCAATGTGCCTTCAACTCGAACCGAAATGAACTTAACACTTGGAACGCATTTCCGTCCTGCCTCTGCGCACGAATATAGAAACATATATATATATATATATATACCAATCCCTTTGAAACATATCCATTCCACGCGCACATATTCCGTACCATTTAAGATCAAAGTGTAATCTCGACTATTTTCTTATATTTTGTATGCAGTTTTTACAAATGTTTAGTTTAAGCGACGAAAAGTTTACAAATTTTATTGTAATGCAATTTAGAACATTTTTACAACAGAATAAACCATTTATGTAACAATATATACTAACTAATTGAATCAATAATTATGCTTTATTAATAGTAAATGATTTAAATAGCAACATAACAAAGGTTGCGAGAGAAGTTATGTTCCAAGTAATTCAATTAGTTAATCTTTAATTGCTCCTAATATATCGATGCCAAGTATCGAGTAGCGAGTACTTACTCGTTGCTGCTTTTGCTTGTTGTATGACAGTGCGAGTAAGTTTCTTCAGTGTCCAACTTAATTAACTAAACTTGATCACCTTTCTATCAGTGTTGTTTACATGCCTTCATTACTTTCATACTAATTTTCCGTTCTTATTCAATACTGAACTCATCTCGTTACTCGCTGAACCACACCGAGTCGTACGGCACATTGTGACGTGTGTGGCCTGCCAAAGGCTGAATTGTACGAGAGCCTTGTGGAGCCTGTGCAAATTGCCAATTCTCTCACTTCTCTGTCTTCTTCGTGTGTGTGCGCGTCGCTCGTTTTTAATTTATGTTTTAAACGTGTTCAAAATGTCTTTAAAGGCTTCAAAATTGTTGTAAGCGATTGTTGAGTGCATTTGGCATTGTTTGTATGTCGAGAACATATTGTAAGCGTACATTTTAACAAGCTAATTTGTGTTTTGCAAATTGTGTGTGCACCGAAAGCGCCGTTATTTGTAACAGCCGGCGTTGCCATATTGCATTTTTTTTTATTCTATTCGCGTTCGTGCATTTTGTGTTTTTTTTTTTTTTTGTTTTGCCGAATTTCGTTCTTATTTGTATCGAATTTAAGTTATTAATTAATTAAAAGAGAAGAACAGAAATGGATAACTGCGACGAATACTGGATGGATGTGGACTTCAGGAGCAACATAATGCAAAACTTAAAATGTATACGTGATTACATGAGGTTAGTGCCTGAATTTGCTATTTTCCAAAATTCTACAAGTTTATTTTTATTAAAAACCAATATGCATAACATTTCACATTATTTGTACATGAATTCGATTATAAGTATGAATTATGAATTTGTCGAAGCGGCTCACAGCGCCATCTGCACGGCGAAAAGCGCGAGCAGCGCTGCCGCGCTCATCGCCATGTAGCGTCCCGCGGCGGATGCGTTGCACAGATCTCCCTTGCAGGTGTAACAGCTTTCCACCTGGCGGCTGTGCGTTACGGTGCACTCGTTCTCCTTCTGTCCAACTACCTCAAAGTGACAGTCACGTGAGACAATTACGCCGGCGCGATCTGTTGTGAAAATTTAAAAAAAAAAAGAAATTCAATTTCATTCCATTTTTTGGTTGCTTGTTTTCTGACATTTTGTAGACTTTTCAGAGCTGCTGTTGGATTGTCATAAGCTGATTTTTTTTTGCGGTAAGTTTTTAACATATGTATTTAAATTTGTATGCACACAAGTTTAACCATTCTGCTTAATAGGGTAAAGTTTCCTCATATCATGGTCGCTTTGGTATTAAATTCTTTGCTCTCGTTCCGGATACAGGAAAACTAGCGAGAGTTTGTACTTCCTGCTGTCAAATGTGGCGAGACGCATGTTGACTGTGGCTCCTACCTGTGCAGCTACTCGTTGTCTCTGGCTTGAGCTAGTAAACTACATTCTCTACTTTTTGTGTCGAAAGTAACGAGACAGATCTAGAGCTTTACTTGACTTAACTTGTTTGTAATTATTGATATGAACGAGTTGTCTCAAGCATCATGTTGATTTAGCCATGTACGCCTGTTAATTTGCAAGCTAGTCTGCAGTTCTCATGAAACTAGGCATGAGTCTTGACAAATGCCGCATCTGTTCTAGTACATATTCAAGGTTATTGAATCTAAATCATTCCGAAGATTCTTGTTCTTTAAATTAGCAACTATGTGACTTCATTATGCATTTGTGGAATAGTTTTTTTTTTCTGAATTTTTGATTTTTATAAGAACTTCTAAATTTTCCAACCCAAATATTATTTTCTTCTCAAAGACCATTTGGTTTTTCTTCATATTTTCAACAATTTAATTATTTTCACGTTTTGTGACTTATTTATAGCAATGCATCATCAGATTTTGATTCGTTTTTTTTTGCCAATTGTTTTATTTACATTTAGTTTGTTTATTCCGAATTTGATTTTTGTGATTTTCGTCGGGATTACCAAATGTTAAGCCCACGCAAAGCTTTATTTTTGTCTCATGATTTAAATTCGCTTCATGTAGGCAGTCAAAAACTAAATTGTAGCTCGAAAATTTGCGTTTTTTGAGCGATTTGTATACCTTATATATGCTAATTGACATTGGCCCCGGGTTTGAGTCGTTTAGCTCGAAGCGTCTACGCAATGACATCATTAATAACAATTTAAATTTTTTATTTGCGCTCAAGGTGTTTACACTTGGTGCATGCAAATTATGCTGCCGGGTCGGGCTAAGTTTTGTTTTCACTTACCGCTGGTGACCACCTTGTTGCACCTGGTCACAGGCTGCAGCTGCTCCATGGTATTCGGCTTGGCCACGCTATCGCAGTCCACCTGACGTATATTCGAATTGGCATCCAGCATATCTTTGCTGCAGTTGGGATCCGTCAGAGACTTGCATTGATAGCATTTGATGGCAGTTGCTGTGGACGAGAGCAGCAGAGACAATTAGAGAGAGAGAGAAAGAGAGAGAGAGAGAGAGAGAGAGGGAGAGACGTCACAAGGTCGAATCTTATTTGCTATACAAATTCGCTCAGGTTACAACCAGTTTACCTGTGCCGCCTTCCGTTACATTTGCTTCATTATGTAACGCCCTCTGCGAATTCCAATTAGAATTCTCTATAAACACACGTTTACCTGTTTGTTTTGGCTATGAGATCAGCTTTAGCTGCGACTTATATTTGGATTGAATACGTGCATAAACTGAAATAGCTCATCTTTTATTGAATGCTTTATGCGGATTTTTTTTCTAATTGGATTCTCTGTCAAATAATAGAGTTATTTTATTAAATTTATTAAATTCTTATGCAATTTGATTTTGTCTATAATGTTACGAACAGGTAACTTGTAATTCATATTAATATTTTTCACCTATTTGCTCTAAATTGGCATTGATTTCGATTTAACACATTTTTTGGGTATTTTCTTGCACATTTTTTCAAAACTTTCCATCAAAGTTTATTTCGATATCTTAATAAATTATTTTGAAGCAATTTCTGAATATTTTATTTTCTCTTCAGCTTTGTGTTTTTCCCTTTGAATTGATATTAAAAGATCCAAACCGGTTTCCAATTGAAGCTTTCGATAATTTGCATTTCGCATTTCGAAATTTCAAATCTAATTTTATTTACTATTAGAAAAAAGCACATAAAATAAACTTACCACTGTGCATGAGGCACACGGCAATTAGCAAACAGGCGAAAATTTGTTGCTGCATTTTATATATGTATGTTGTTTTTTTTTCTTTCTATTTTTGTTAAAACTTTTGTCGAAATTAACACACGAACTCGAGAACTGAACGCTTTTAACTGTTTCGCTGCCGTCGCCCAACTGAATGCGCATTTGG